CCCCCCCCCCCCCCCCCCCCCCCCCCCCCCCCCCCCCCCCCCCCCCCCCCCCCCCCCCCCCCCCGCCCCCCCCCCCCCCCCCCCCCGTAGTCGAAGTCGATTCATATCTATGATTTATCAAAGATTATTTCTAATGAAAAATATATCTGTGATCTCTCTTAAGTTTTTTCCAGAGTAATCGCCACGACCTTCAATGTAACTACGTAAAGAAATAGAAAACGATGGCATGTTTTATGCAAACGCGATTTGGGCAGTTATAATGGATGAATAAACTGCTGCGACAGTTCGAATTGTTACAATCATTTTCACTTCTTCAATTAAGTCAGGAAATTCAGCTTTCAAACAGCTCAATGATTTGATTGCAACACAAAATACTAACTCCTAAATCATGACAGAGATAGTAACAATCATAGAATATTGTTTCTAATTAGCTGAAGATAGAAAATATATTCTATGGAAATGGTCTACGACTGTCTATTCACCCTCTGAGTTAGTCCATTTCCGAGGGAGAAAATAACTGATTTGAATTAATTTTTCTATTTAACGATTTTTCAGCAAATGAAACTGAATATATTCTCGTGACCAGGCAACCTTTCGGTGAAATCTATTTTTTCCCTGTATTCATCTGAAATTATAGATATGGAACGTACCAAAAATGAAAACTTACTGGTAACAACTTGTCATGCTAATGTAACTTGCTTACTTGACTTACCGGATGAGGTTCTACTTATTATTTGCCGATATTTATCAACATATGATTTTTTTTAGACATCTGAGCAATCTAATTAATATCTTCATCGTTTAATTCAAAAATATTATACAAAGATTTATCTTAATGTAATGTCATTTGATAAATGCGCTCATTTAGTATATTTAATTATTCATCCAAACAGTCCACTTCCACTTAAATCATTAATACTAAATAATCAATATGGATTTTATTTATGCGAGCATTATCTTTTCTTTATGTTTACGAATGATCGTCGATCTATATTAAGTAATTTGACTTTAATCAATTGTTCTTCACCTGAAATTTTTACTATTCGTGATGATTTTGCGAAGTCTATGAAACTTGAATATAAAGATAATAAAGCAAAAAGTAAGTTTATTATCAATAACATTTTGCTTTTTTTTAACAACTAAAGAAAATTTTGATATTTTTTTCAGCACGTGATCCTATAGAATATTGCGATATGGTATTGAGTTATATATTATTCATTCATCCAATGTCTTCTCTACACACTGTTATTGTTGAACCATTTTGATGGACTACCATTATTTAAATCTATGGCACCTAATGAAAATCTTCATCATATTAATATTACTTCATTAAGAATCGATGATTTATACATATTACTCAATGGACTCGTACCGAATTTCGAAATACTCGGTGTTAGATTATGTCAGTCATGTCTATTAAGTAAGTTTTATTTTTCAATAAAGAATCTATAATCGTGTCATATTCATCAAAGTTTTGTGCACTTTGAGAGAAATTTTAAACGAAAGAAAAATCATCAAGAAAACTTTTATTTTCAAAATATTTAGAATTCCAATGGAGCGACGAAGTCTTTTGCCATCGTTTGATCGATTTTTACATTATTCGACAGTTGCACTGCAATAAACTTCGATGATATCGAGTCTCTATTTATTTTTATGCCTAATCTTCGTAAATTAACATTGAGCATTCGTGATACACCTGATAGAAGAGTTTCTCATGGATTAACAATAGAATATATGTTAAATAATCATGCTCCTAATGTCTGTCAATTTGATTATACAATGAGTCATCGAGAAAAAATTGAAGATTTTCTTCAATGGCTAATGAATACTGTTTGTTATGAACATGAAGATATTAAATGGATACATATGTTTCCTGTTCCATGACCATCAAATCACCAAGACAAACGAGAAGTACCTATAATTAATGGTAACTATCATTATATCAGTTACATCAGATGTTAAATATACTCATTATGTCAATCATGTTAAAATTACCACAGAAGATGAAATGTTAGAAATCAAGGAAAAATTTCATCGAGCTCGTCAACTTACAACTTGCTTATCTATTAATATTAAATTACCACGACAAATTTCTAAATTGATTCTCAGTTCAGAAACGCCTACGTAAATATTTTTTGAATATAATTTGGTTATTAAAAAACAACAGTTTTCTTTTTCTATTTTAATCTATTAGCTATTTGTTCAATGAATTTTATTTCACAAGAAAATATTCATTGTTTGCTGGTTGAACGTCGTTTAATAGATGAAAATGAAATAAAAATACTGGCTAAGCAATTTCCTCGTGTCAGATATTTAGAATTATTATTTCCATTGGAACTATTATCATATATTCCTTGTTTTCAAACACTTTTTTCTATTACTGAGAAAATTGAACAACGTTGTTTTTGGTCGGAATTGATTGAATTTCGAACAAAAATTGGTTATGAGCAAACATCTTCGATTTGGTGTCAACATAAACTACGCTATTGGCTTATTTCAAATACGGATCTTAAACATTGGCCAAATCAGTTTTTTACCTCTTACTCAGATTCAATGTGCTCTGTTTGACTTTAACTTGTGTTAAATTAATTTTCATCTGCCGGTTATGGACAAATAAAAGATCTTTAGCTGCACACCCACACCCTACGACTTCCAAATGGTTGGCATTATGTGCCGTATACGACACGAGGATATGCGGCTGAAATACGGCGCGTATACGGTCGTATCTGGTTACTGCAATACACGAACTGGGACGTGTATAAAAATGTGTATACAAGCGATGCTTATCGTTTAGGTTCTTATCAAGTCATATCATACATTTTAATTTCTAATGTGTGAGTCGTTTATATATCAATATCAATTCTGTCTATATCCATATTGTGACGATTTCTGATGTTGTAGATGTTGTATTAAGTGTTATTTAACTAATACTTTATTAATCTATCATGAATCGTGGTGTACTGTATTTTTCTCGTTCTTTATATACCATTTTGTGGTATATATGGACTTTGATTGATACAGTGTAAACCATATGAGATGAAAGGACAAATTAAAAGGATACAATTAATAACACGGGTGTGGGTGTGGGTGTGGAAGTATTTTTGTTCAGACACTCACACCCATTTCACATTCGTCATATTTCAATAATCATTGATTTTCAACATATAAATCTCTTTTGAAGAATAAAAAAAGATAAATCACATTCACATGGCGTCATCACCATTGGTCAACTGTTGGACAGAATGGGGCCCATTAGAGCTTGTCTGTGTCGGCAGTGCTCAGGGCATGTGCTATCCTGATGAGACTCCAGTGTATTCATGCGCTACGGGTCCTCTTAGTCTACGTCCATATCTTCAATTAATTGCAGGTCCACGACCTAAGAGTCGTATCCAACAGGCTCAAAATCAATTGGACCATTTAGCGGATTTACTTCGAGCAGAGTCGGTTGTGGTTGCCAATTCGATTGCTGATTTACTTGATGGGGATATTGGAAAAGTTCTCTCCCGAAAACAAACGTCGTTAGTTGGAAGTTGTGAAACAGATGACGGTAGAATTCTGCAAAAGAACAAAATCGATGTGTGTCGACCAACACTACCATCTGGTGAGCAACCACGCTTCAATCACCAACTAGCTACACCTAATTTTACATCGAATTATCAGTTTGGCTTGGCATGCCCTCGTGACCTAATAATCACAATCGGTGACACTGTGGTTGAAGCGCCCACTGCTACTCATTTTCGATATTTTGAAACCGAATATTACAAGACTATACTGTATTCATTGTGGGCACGAGATTCTAACATGAAATGGATGCAACCTCCCAAGCCGACATGGTCACCAGTGCACATGTTTCATGATGTTGACTATTGGCAAAAAACTAGTCATGAGGACTTTTACCATTCAGTTCATGCCGATACTGGCTATAAAACAAATCTGAACGAGTCAGAAATTGCTTTCGATGCGGCTGATATGATGCGAATGGGCAAAGATGTTTTTTATAAAAAATCTACAACGGCCAACAATCAGGGCTTGACTTGGTTTCGTCGAACATTCCCTCATCTTCGCTTCCACATGATGCATTTTCCAACGAATGGTGGTCGCCATTTAGATGTCTCATTAGTGCCACTTCGGCCCCCAACGTCAGGCTCGCACGGTCTTGTCCTCGTTAATCAAAATTTCCCACCCCTGGCCAATGAGATGAAATTGTTCACGGACAATGATTGGCGTCCAATATGGGCACCTTTACCTGCTACTGATGCTTTGGCACCATTTGCAATTTGCTCAAGCAATCTTAATATGAACTTGCTTTCGCTCAATGATCTTTGCGTTATTATTGAAGAATGTGAAGTCCCATTGTATAAGTTGTTGCATGACGAGCATGGTTTCGATGTCATC